AGGAATTGCACTGTTCCCATATCTATTAGTTTTATATTTTTGGATTTGATATGTATTACAGTTTCGAAGGGTCATATTATGGTTACTTTTATTTATTGGGAACCAATTTGCGTATCTCTGAGATTTTAAACATTTCAGTCCAAATTGAACACAAAGATGGAGTCGTCTATCGGCCATCGTTTGGAGTCCCAATTGCTGGAGTGTTTCCGTATATGATACATAATCCGCACCAATAATAATCCGGCATGCTCTCTTTTGGATGCGTTCAATTTGATACGATTGATCTTTTGTAATGCTACCATGCCACACCGGAGCTGCATACTCACTAATAGGGCGAACATAACCAGTATATACGGAAACTAAGTCTTCAATTGGGAGTCCAAACCATTTGAGGCGAGATAGCATATACAACCTCTGACTACATTTTGATATAATATTATTAACGTGGGACTGCCAGCCAAGATTGGATTGTACGATCACTCCCAGAATCCTGATCTCGTGAACCACACCGAGTTCAGTCCCACCAATATGGAGGCAGGGTGGGTTAGGAGGTTCTCTCATGAAGCAAATCTGCATGAGTTTACACTTGCTCGGATTGAGCGTAAGGTGGTTCTCGTTTGCCCACATATCCAGGTTACGAACGCCCACTCCAATCTGGCTAGGCTGATTTACAGGACGGACCTCTACAAGGCTGAGGTCATCGACATACTTGAAGCTTTTATTCAGAGACTCTTTGGCGGCGTTGTTAATTACAGCCATAAATTTGATGGGGCCGAGTTTTGTGCCTTGCGGAACACCACAGGAGAGTGTTTTCCATTGCGACAAGGAAGAATGGTACTGTACTCGTTGACGACGGGCTGTAAGAAAGTGTGTTATCCATGGTAATAACTCGCTTCTGACACCAAGCTCAAAGAGTCTCTGAATAGCCAAAGTATGGTCGATGCAGTCAAAAGCCTTGGAGAAGTCCGTCACAACGAGAGTTCCAACAGTCTTACTCTTGTCGCAACCTTTAAAGAAAAGATTAAGCATCTCAATTAAACAATGGGAAGTGGATGATTCCTTTAACCCACCATATTGGTTACGGTCAATTGACTTGGATAAGTCATCCATAACCCATTTAGGGACAAACCCTTCACAAACTTTTGCTAAAATGGAAGTTGAGGAAATTGGCCGGAGTTTAGAGACTACAGCCGGAGTAGTTTTAGGAATAGGGGATATTGTGGCATCCTTCCACACATGCGGAACAACTCCTTCTTTTAAGGACGAATTAAATATATTGCATACTGGGATGCTGAACTCGCATGCGAATTCTTTAAGTAGTTTTGCAGGTAGTGCATCAGGCCCTGTTGATAGTTGGGCGTTGTTGACATTTATTTGTAATTATCTGGATCCCTTTGTGCCAACCATGTGGATCACTTGACTTAAGGTTTTGAATACGATCCTTATAATAAATTTTTTTTGCCTGAACAATAGCACGTATGACCTTATTACGAAGAAACCGCCAAAGAAACATTTTTTTTCCGCAAATGCTATCTGCCGTTTTCTAATTAACGATTTAATCTCAGGGGAGATCCAGGGTTTGTCCTGAGAGTGAAGTTTAATAATTTTGGTAGGGAAGTGGACATCTATAGCCTTATTAATAAGTTTATAGAATGCATCAGCTTTATCGCAGGTAGAAGATGCCTCAATAACTTCATGCCAAGAGTGGTTGGTTATCCACCTTCCGAACTCATAGATACAATGTTTACGTAAAGGTCGAATTAATCGCTTAGTCTGTTTAATTTTTTGGCTATATTCAGCTGGTGGAAGGTAAACAGTGTTATGATCGCTTTTCCCAATTGGACAGCTAACTATAGGACTGTCATAATAATGTTTCAAATTAGTTATTATTAAATCCAATATAGCATCACCTCTTGTTGGCTTATCTACTACCTGTTTCAATGAGTGAGCTCTGCACAATGGATAAATATTTAATCGATTAAAATCTCCTAGAATCACAATACCAATATCAGGACCACGTGATTTTAAAATGTCTAAAGTTGTTATCATATGTTCAATTAATACCTCTTTAAGTTCCGAATTGGGAGGTATATATACAGCACAAATAGCGATAGGGACGTACTCGAAGCCATATGCATTCTAATTCTTCGGGAACGCTAATGTCTGATAAAGTACTTACTGGCAAATTATCCTTTACATAGACGGCCACACCACCTCCTCGTTTGTCAACTCTGGTTGTGGTAAAGATATTAAAGCCATCAACTGCCAAGTAATCATTATTAACCATTTGAGGTTGCCAGGTCTCGGTAATTAGTTAAAATATATTAATACAATCTAGAAACACGTACTAAGTGTAGTTTACTTACATTTTTCCTATGTCATTAAAATATGAACTAGACTTCTGCAAGAGTTGCGGTTCATTTGCATGGGTTGCATATATTTATTATTGTTATTATTTCATGTATAAGTTGTTAAGTTTTGGGCTAGAGTGCAGAGTTCTTATTTCAGCCACATAAGGTAATATGAAAAACTGTTACTATGTTTGTACTAGTATATTGTATTGTTGATTAGATAATTTAAACAATTCGCTGTAACTCTAGCATCAAGTTTTGCATTATTTATGTCAAAATGTAGCGGATGTTTGAGGGAGAGGTTGACAAGAAGCAATCTAAAGCTCTAACGTAACGGCAAGAATGCAATACATTTAACTAGGAAACATAATGGTATGTATTATTCAGCTCACAACTTTTTTTTTTTTTTTTAAACTGACTGCTTTTATATACTAAACTAGACTTGCCACAAGCCTCTAATTATTAAGTTTTTCGTAATATTTGCACATTTCGGAGAGCGCCACCAGCGTCAGTCTATGTCGAGAAACTTTTTAATCCAAGAAAAAGTATACTATGAAACGCCAAGAAAATAGGTAATATGGAACGCCATTGGTGCCAAAATCGAGCTTTTTTACTATTAAGACAAAGTTTAGGGACTGGAACCCAGTCTAATACTAAACTAACTAAATCCTTGCCGAGCCACTAGGGCTCATATGGCTGGAGCTTTAATACGTCGCAGGTTAGTCCCCAGCACTTTGCTGGCATCCAATGATACGGCTGGGTGGACTGAAGCAATGTAGCTAAAGTGCCTTGCCCAAGGACACAAGCGAATCTGCACAGCGGAGACTCGAAACCCCGACCTTACGATTGAAAGCCCAATAACCAACCCCTGCGTCGAACTGCTGTAAAATATGCTTAATAAAAATTTTACCACAGGTTAAGAGGTAAAGCCAGGCACTCACTGCGTCGTACAACTGTCGGACAACGAATCCAACTCCGCTCCCTGTGAGAGCTAGACCAGCCGATTCTACCTAGAGTTTTCAGTTCCATCATAAATGGTGATGTCACTGAAACTGATACTTATCAGATCTATTAGGTAGAATCAAATGGCAGTTGGTTGATTTTCGATGGCTGTCTGAATGGATCGTCATTAAAAACGATTTGTTGCGCTTGCGTCGTGGCCTTACTTTCTACATAGAATCGCGTCGGCCCCAACGACCGTCGGGCGCGCAGTGAGTGTCCGTCTTTAGGTGTAGAGTTTATTGTTATTTAGTGTATATATATATATATATATATATATATTCCTTGTTATATAAACTAGTGGAATGGAAAAAAGATTATACAAAATGCGGCTATGTGATTGGTCCAATAACTTTAATGACGTCATCACCGGATATTTTTGGATACCCTGGGGCGCAGTATATAACCACTCAATGTATATCATCATTTCAAACGTCACTTTTAGATTAATGAGAATTATAAATAGCAATACACATACAAGAACCTTTAACTGGGTGCACAAATTAAATTGATGGCGTTATACTTATTGGTATTACGGGCAATTAAGAAGGTGCTTTAGGTCAATGTGTACGTTTTATTACAACAAAACGTAGTCCTAATTGACAATAGTTAACACATTATATATTTGATCTTAAATTTGAGTGTTAAAACGATCGTATGACCTTTTTATTACAACTATGTTTATTGATTTTACAATTTAAACGAGTACCGACATTCACTCAATGTTAATCAGTTTGTACCGACAACAATGATCCCGTTTTATAGTTGTTAACTCGATGATTTACACGAAGTGAACAAGTAAAAAGTAATTTCTGAAAAAATATGTACCGTATCATCCAATGCGTCATCCAGGAAATCTTATCATGTGATTGGATATAAAATAAAGCATCGTTGACGCGCCTCTGCTTGCATTTAGATTGAGACATGATAGCAATACACACTCGTGAAATAATTGCACTCTAAGCACGTACTTTACTCTCCGCAAGAAAAGGTAAAATTTCGTTGTGTTGGCGCCAATGTGTCGATCGTCGAAATTATCGTCTTGAACTCTATGCTCAATAATTACAACTCTAACGTACATTGACATTTGACTTTAAATTCAACACATTCCGTTTTAAACATCTGCGTACATTTTCACAGAGGTATATGTAATGACAATAATTGCAAATTGTCACGTGTCTCGATAAAATGTGACTGAAACTAAACACGTACCCTTTTCGCACACCACACGTCTTTCATCGTCACAGTTTACGTAACTCCAAACACCGTAAACATAAATCACACAGTTATCTGTAGTTGGCCCAAAACCTATACTGTGGAAGTTCCAAGCTGCAAAATAGTAAATTTGTGTAGATTAAAATTAATGTACTATCTAAGTATACGCATAAGAAGTTTAAGATTAAGACGGGATGGAACTAGACGTGTCGTGATAATAAGGTAAGACAATGTTAAGATAGGATATAAAGGAATGAAATGATTTAAATTAAGAAAAGGACTGTGTATTATCAATTTTATAAAGGTAAAGTTTGGAGAATAACCCATAACTTGCAGCGTCATTGTATTGAATTGCGTATGGGCGTGGTCCGTGACTACCTAGCAGCCGTAAAGAGCGCATATAGTAGCTACATGTTTACATCAAACATCAACTATTGTGGTTGAAATGGACCATAAAACCTTGGTATCCTCATATTTTTCCGAAAGATGCAATTGGTTCTTTAAAGTGCACACGAGCCAGATGTATACACTGGGCCTCCATTTTAAGTCCTTATCTAGAAGACTTCGTTCTACCAACCGAACCCTGGGAGAGGAGCGGCTGGGACCAGCGCTGATGTTAAGGCTTTAGTTTGCAGCGCCCTTGCCTTGCCACTGGGCCACTCGACTCGCCCATTAAAAATATCATGTGATTTGAGCACATGTTGACATATTTAGGCACAGTGTACAGTGTAGTGGAACGGTCCATTCTCACCCGTAAAATCATGTTCATTTACTGGATAGTCCCCAATACGTGTGGACCAAACGTAATTGCTATCTGTGTCGTTATCGTTCAAAGCCAACCAAAATGAAAAATCAGTAAAATGAAATGCATCGTTCTTTTCTTTGTTTGTGATGACCGGCAAATCGGCGTCTATATTCTTACACGCTATGTATGCCTCAGAAAATGTCATGTTTCCGGATAAGTAATAGTACACATTGTCACTAATGATAGACGAAATTTCGAAATCTGGAAAAAAAATCCGAAACAATAGATATCGTATTAATATTAAGTTACAATCACTTTAAAAATGTACTACTTAAACAGAAAATTCCAAGATTAATATCGTTAAACATTCGCAAACTTTGTGATTAGGTTGTGTAAATAGAGTATCACAACGGTGCAGCAGCGTTTGCAAAATTAATATGAAATTAAGTTATAAAAAAATGTATTTATGGCTTTACGAGATTTTGTTGGAGTAAACTGTATATAGTTATATTATATTATATTGTTATTACTAAGTAAAATTGTTAGCTATAGATTGAGATTAAAATAGTTTGTACTTTTTAAAGTGCTGTCCAATTATTTGGAATAGCTGTCTATTTAAACTAACAAGTTACCAAAAAACCTTCCATCATATCTCAAGTTTGCATTGTTTGGTATGTTCTTTCATGTGATGCTGCATTTGGTATTTGTAAACAAATAATCAAATTAGTCTGTAGTAAAACTTGCTTTTTACGTTTATCGTATTCAATGCTTGCCTGTGTCTTTTGCTGGCGCCTACCGAGATATTTTCTGGCTTAACACATCCATTTACATTACCACTAAAAAACTAAATGTGCTGTAATAACTTTGGTTTTCTTTCTTGATTATTGCATTGCTCGTTTATGTTTTGGCTTTCACTTCATTTTCAAGTATTTTATGTTTTTAAACATATATAATTTATATAGGCCTATATAGGGCCTATTATGAAATATATAAAAGTCCCGGTTCGAGTAATATAAACTGAAACTAATAGAGGAATATGACAATAAAAACATTATCAATCTCCACCAGGACTCGAACCCGGGACGTTTTATATAATATATTGAGAAATTAAGACTTACACAAACACAATAGAGTATTACTACAGCACCTAGGTAAGGGTATACTGTGTGCACACATTTTTGCACTTATCTCTATGGAATATAGATAGCGGTGGATGCGCTCGAGTAGGCTCGGCCTAACCAAACGACTTGGTCGAGCGATCCACTCGAGTTGGCTCTGCCGGTTGAGGCCGGATACAAATAACATTCTAAAATATTATGCATCCTACTTCGGATAAGCACCAACAGCTAGTACCTCCTGTTATAAAGTGTAGTAAGGTACAGTAATACCAAAGGCTAGAGAGAAAGAGGCCTAACAGGCTGAGATCTTACCTAGTCCTAGGCCCCTCATTAAACTAGGCCTAGGGTCATAGGCTGACACCAACATACTGATATTGACTGAAATTTTTTTGGGAAAAAATAGGACAAAATTGAAGCATGAAATAAAAAATAGAGCGCATAAGAGAAATATTATTAAATAAATAATATACACCATTCCGGCGTTATTGAACTTGTCCAAACTATCATTGTAATGTAATTAATGTTAAATAATAATAATAATAATAATAATAATAATAATAATAATAATAATAATAATCATTTCAGCATTAATTACCTTGGCCTAAGCCTTGTAATGAAGAACCTACAGATACCGTAATATTTACTAAGCCTATAAATAATAACTAGCCAAGGGGATTATCTTTTGTGTTATTTCCCCTTAACGTCGTTTTTTTCATTGTTCTCTAATTCCTCCATTGTCTAAGTTCCCCTTAAGGTACAGGTAATAATAATTAATAATAATAATATTATAATAATAATAATAGTAATAATAATAATAATAATTTCAGCATTAATTACCTTGGCCTAAGGCTTGCAATGAAGAATCTACAGATACTATTTACTAGGCCTATAAATAATAACTAGCCCAAGGGGAATATCTTTTGTGTACTTGATCCCCTTAACGTCGTTTTTTAAATAGTTCTCTAATTCCTCTATTGTCTAAGTTCCCCTTGATGTACAGGTAATAATAATTAATAACAATAATAATAATAATAATCATTTCGGCATTACATGTAATTAACTTGGTCTAGCCTTGTAATCAAGAAACTGCCGATTACTATGCCTAATATTAATAACTAACTCATTTTTACATTCATTTGGTGCTCTGCCATTTTGGCAGGTCTTATGGCATCCAGTATTTTAGAGCTGCCTATTCTGATCTCTTCTTTTAATTTGAAAATAACTGTCACCCTGTTTCATATGATGAAGAAAAACGCGCTTTTCCTTACTCTTTGTGCTTTTCCCAGAAAGCGTCTTAGTAGGCCTAGGTAATTATGCAAAACCAAGGCCTAACAAATTAAAATTGTCATAGTATGTAACTCAAGTTAAAATAACACGTTTCATTACTCGTGCAGCTTAATCAAATATTATATGTCATTTTAAACGACCCATTTGTATTAACATATAGTAACATCAATATATTTTAAAAAATTAGACAGCGACGTTCTCTCAGAAGTTGTTTTGTAGACGTTTATCTGTTGATGACCTTTTGACCTCCTGAATTCTGCAATGAGATTTTCGGGTCGATTCAGCCGAGACAGCCCGAGTGGAGTTTCATGTAAATGTTTCGTACGGAAAAAAAAATCGCTGCCGGTTGAGGCCGGATACAAATAACATTCTAAAATATGCATCCTACTTCGGATAAGCACCCAATTTAAAGGGAACCGAGATACATTGTCCACGTGAGACAGACACACACACACACACACACACAGACGCAGACGCACGCTATTGCAATACCCTTCCATCGGAGAGGCGAGAAGGTAATGATTATCCATTCCTTGCACGTGTTTAGTTACTTTATAAACACATATAGTTTGTGAATCTATATAGGAAGATATCAAGGTAGGCTTATTAGTATTTTTTTTTATGTACCTTTCTCACACACAATGTATTTTCTTAGTGTACATGGTACATCATTCCACTTGAGTTTCCTGGCTTTTGCAATCACACAGTCTTCGTTATAAAGATTATTAGGTTCATTGCTCATCCACCCTATAATCAAGAACATATATTGATTCAGTCTAATTAGGATAGTAGACTTTCATTAATTTTTGGGGTTTTGATCCTATGTGATCGTTGACTGCAAGCTGCGAACACCAAGTGTATGGAAGGTGTTACCAGTTCTACAGGCCAACTTTAAAAAACAAAATCTCAAAACCAGCCCAATTATTGCCATAAAGAAGAATGACTCCTTAGTGACCTTTGACCCCACCCTGAATACAATAAAGACTGCCTTATATCAATGTGCGAGTGCAAAGGAAAAAGATTGTGCTATGCTATTTGTGACAGAAGTAGTCTTTAAAAGGATTTTTGGAATTTTCACCCTCTGTGACCTTCGACCCCAAGCGGTGAACACCCCATGTTTGGAAGGTGTCACCGATTATACTGACCAAGTTTGAATAAAATCGGCCTAACCCTTTGGCACTAGTAGCGTGTTGAATTTTTGTCAGAAGTAGAATCAGAAGAAGAACGGTAAGAAAACAGAACTCAGTCTGCCTCCGACATAAATATGTTTTGTGTGTGTTTCGTGTATATTTAGTAACGATAATGTTAGTGGTGATGTTATTAATATTTTAATAAAAATTTTCTTAAAACAAGTACAGGAATTGATGCCTGAATTTAAAATAAAAACTTTATTAAGAATGTATACCAGCATGTGGTAATTGTACATCGATTGAAAAACATTTATAGTATTATTTCTTAATTTCCCTCACATTAGAAAAAAAACATACCGTATTTCAAAACGAATTTTTGAGAAAAATGCGTTTGATGTGGACTACTTCAGAAAAGCGTAAATTTCACCATCAAGACATAAATATTTTAATTATTTTTTACATTATGTTTAAAGATAATGCATTAAACAATTCAAATATTTAATTAATTTTTCTTTTCTTAAATTTAGATAACATATTAATTAGCGTAAAAAGGTAAAATATACAGTGAAGTTTGTGTCTCTTAAAAAGAAAATCTTATTTTACGCGCTGTACACCGCGGCATTGTTTTGTCAGAAAACTATAGTTTAGTCTACATTTTACCGTTGTAGTCAAATGTGATTATAGGCCTACAAACTAGACTTATCCTATATTATTTTTTATTAAAAATTCCACATTTCATGCATGAGGCCTATTTAAAGTTATACTGAAGGAAGGTACGGTAGCTCTAGGAACGGTAGGAAATCTAATCTTTACGTCCAGCCCTACCCGCAGACAGGTCTTCTACCCAACCACAACGATTACAACGCTGCACGCACGTCTTTTGATAACCCACCGTAAACAACTAAGAATTTGTTTCTGTCCGTGAAAACGAAATATCCGTTTTTCTCGGTTTTGCACTATGGCTAATTATTAATTCAAAATGTCAAAGGAAAAAAGACTATGATTTTTAAAGTTTGTGTCTCTTCGTGGTGTCGTGACGATATTTGTGTCATTGACATCTTAACTGGTGTATACTCGTTTGTGCTGTCAGTCAAACAACGAATCAGTAAGACCAGGGGTCGGAATGGGTTGTCTTAAAAACTCACGTGTTTCACGTAAATTTTGTGAAACCTTAGCAAAAATCTTCAAATTGCGGGGCCTCGCAGAAATGTCATTTTTTTTATCTCAATAAATGCATTTTTTTGCAATATTTTTGTGATGCTTTTTTATATATACTTCATTATAAAAATATTTAAACAATGATTATATATACCAGTGGTTTAGTGCAGGGGATATTAAAGTATTACTAAGTCTAATACCGTCAAAACTTCAAAAATATGTTTTTACGCTCTCCCTGTTCCTACAAATTAACGAAAACAGCGACATTGAGTTGACCTTAGTTGGCGTTCCATATAGAAAGGGTATTACGAATAACATTTATACCAGCCTATCTTTGCAACGTTGAACAGTGTTTGTCTCCGATACTCACAGTTTATCTATTTACAGAAAAGACCTTACGGTAGTGTAACGCCTCACAGCTATAATAAATGAATGACCGACAAAATACACCACGACTGACAGACTTTAAATTAAATGATTCCATATACCACACATTTGTAAATATGCTACAAACATATATTTCAACTTACCATCAAAAGTTTCGGTATTTAATGGATAGCTACCATTTGACGTGGTCCATACATATACTCCCTCTTGTTCTCGATCATTCAAAGCTAGCCAAAAATTGCGTTCTTGTAAGGCGGTAAGACGTTCGTAGTCTTCTAATGTCCGAATAATGGGTAGATTTCCGCCGTAATATGTTTTACATAAATCTACAGCGCTTTGAAAATCTAGATATTTTGATGTAGAATAATATATTGTTCCCCCAACTATTGTTCTTAAGATGATTGTTCGCGACACTGAAAATGATATTGGAAAATAGCAAAGACAAAATTAGTAAAATGGTTAAAAGCAATAGAAATTATAACATGCATTGACTGTTCGAGCAACTGCTACTTTACGATTTGCACGTGCAACATAAACTGATTTCGACCATTATATTTTGATCATTACTCAAACAGATACAAAGCATGCAATGTGTCATTTAGACAAAACGTCCTCTTTTATTTAGGCCACTGGCCCATCGAATTTGAGTACACACATATTTCCATGCTACTGGAACAGTAGGCCTACCAGCAAGAACAAAAATCTGAAAAAAACTAAAGTATTGTAATTAAACAAAAATCAAATCTCTTCTACAAAAACAGAGAAAAAAACATGTTTTGTTAAATAATTTTGACTATCCTCATCTGTTAACAAAATACTTCTGCTGTGTGAGATTATTATAATATTTCCCAGATAAACCTCACGAGGATCACTATAAATTGGCTAATGTAACACAAAATGGAATTCATTTTTTACAGTTAAATGAAAATAGTTTTCAAAGATAATGTGAATCTACTTTGCTGAAGGAATTTGCATTTAGACAACTTCATCTAGTCCTAAGAGAAATGCATCTTCTTAACTTAAAAAAAGTTATAATCATGACACCTGAAATTTTGCAAGTAAATATCTCTACAACGATGTCCAAAAATATTTATGTAGAGCGCACCTTCTAGTATCAACATTTTCATTGTATTTTGGACCATGTTTGAGCAGTTATAAACATTTGTACCACAAAGGGAAACGTCTTGGTTAACCTGTACTTGCTTGGTGATCTTAGTCCGTAACTCGATTGATCAAATCATCTCCTTCAACCATGCAACCATATTCTATGATTACATTCTTATCATTTGATTGTTATATGTGTGGAACTGGTGTCCCCATAAATGCAATATACAAACCAGAATAAATCATTTGTGCAATTATGAACTTAGCGTTATAACAACGTAGGCCTACTTTTTAAAATTTAAAGCAAGATATTGGTCAATTTGACAAAGGCGTGGCTGATATTAGTTGTGTTTTAGATTTCCACTTAATCACCACTCTTAAAACTACCCAGCTAACAACCTTACGTCATGATAAAGTTACGGTTTGGTGTACAAAAAGGTTTTCTTTTTGGTGCACGAGCCATAAATACATATAGGCCTATTTAGAACGTGATTTCACAAGTTTCATTGTACCGAAATAGCGCTTTCAGGGACGTTATGTACAGTATACAAGCAGAAGAAGCAAAAGAAATAACGTTGTAACGTTCCATCCTAAAACCAATGCTTCCGAACATTATAATAAGGTTTTCTGTTTAAATTCAATTACGATATGTAACATTTATTCATTTTCTGTTTAAATAATTATAACTGAAAACATGATCATCAAAAAATACTTATATAATAAATGCAAAGTATTAAATAGGGAAAAAGCCAAGGACCCCAAAAGATATAACCAAATCTTGTATGGGACAATCTGTACTATGTAGGCCTAGTAATTGATGCCTATTTGTTTAAAAGTCATTACAGATGACAGACTTACCTCCTATGCAACTGTAGAAATATATTACAAATATAGTGTTGAACAATACCATAATTATTTCGTTGTCGATTATTTCTTTGATAGTCGTCAAATGAATCTGTTTAACTTCAGCCAGGTAAACTCACAAACGCATTTGAGCCAGTGATTCCGGAATGGCGTGCCAAAATTGGTCACAAAAAATAGTCTTATTGAAGTGTGTAATAGCATCTCAGCTATGAATTGGATTGGACAACGTCAAACAATACTATTCATTAAACGACTTTTCTCGTAATTCAACATCATTGTTACTGTAGAGTATAAACAAAAGTACTGTATAGTGGCGTAGGCATATTTTTCTTGTGCTGAAAAAATGGTGAAACGTTAGAAAGTCACCGCCATGTCTTAAGACTCAGGATTCCGATCCAAATGTAGATGGTGATCCAGAATCCAGTGCCATCCTTGTTGTATCAACGATAGTGAAATACGGACATTACTGTCAAATTCATCTGCGAAAGCAGTGATATTGAAAATGTCTTTCATGTATGGCTAATTTTTCGCCTTTTGTAACATTCAAAAAATTGAAAAACAATAAAACATGATGAAAAAATTGTAATCAGAAGTAATGTCAACATATGTAATTAATTAAAGACGAAAAGATTGAAACAAAATAGAAACATTTCTTAAATAGAAGTACTAAAATAATTTATTTAGCCCATTTCAGCTGTATTCTTTTACTATGGGCGGAGCAGTTATACATCATAATTGTTTTAGGTTGCCCACTCCCTATTTTTTCGGAAGCTGTACTGCTATTAATTCTACACAATGTAAATCAACAGTTGATATAATGATCCCATATCACAACTGCACCACCATTATTTACTTTATTACCGCACTAATAATTGCCAATAACATTGTATTCAGCATAAACTGATATTATTGTTTGATAGGCATGTTCACCAAGCTTTAATTAATTTTTGTATCGTATGGCATTGCGTGACAAGTTCATATTTCGAAGTTTTGTACATCAGTACGACACTTTATTCTGAACTATAACAATTATTAAGGACAGAAAGCAAATAATAAGCCTAAGTTTGTACCGTACATTTATTGAGACACCACGCTTCTCTAAACAAAGGTGTGTATTTCTTTAGGTTAAATGAAGTGCACTGTACACATTATGTTTAAGAGAGTTACAAAAGACGTAACATAATAAACAAAATACGCAACTCATTCTTACATTGTAACATTTGAATACCAATTCAAAAACTGTACCACTGATGTAGAATTAAGATTTTAATAATTTGACAGAAATGGAACTTTGTAGTTACAAGCACTGTATAATTATTTAAAATTCATTTCTGAGTAATAGTTACAAGACGTTACAACATAATAGTTAATAAACACGCACCTAATTCATCATACAATTTAATACCAATTTACAAACAGTACCGCTGATATAGAATTAGGATTTACAAGGATTCGACAAAACTGGAACTTTGTATTTACAAATATGAAACATTAAACTTCGTTTGTCAGTAAGAGATTTACAAGACGTTATAAAATAATAATAATTAAACACGAGCATCATTTATACAATTTAACATGTTAATACCAATTAACAAAAACTAGTGCTGATATTAAGAATTAAGATTTAAAAGAATTCGGCAAAATGGAAATTTGTATTTACAAATATAATACATTTATGAGTAAGAGAGTTACAAGACATTACAACATAATAATTAATAAACACTTACCTCATTCATCCAATTAAACCGTTTAATACCAATTTACAAGCTGTGCCGATAAAGAATTACAAAGATTCGATAAGAAAAGAAACTTTGTATTTTAAAATATAAAATATTAAACTGTGTTTATGTTTGAATATAAGAGGGTTACAAGACATTACAACATAATAAATAAACATGCATTTCATTCATACAATTAAACATTTCAATATCAGTTTACAAATAGTACCGCTGATGTAGAATTAGGATTTTTATAAATTCAATAAAAATGGAAATTTCAGATGTAAAACATCAAACTTCCATAAACTGGTTACCTATAAATGGTCCCGTTTAAAAAAAAAACAAAAAACAACACTGAAGTAGAAAATTATTAATTTGTTCTAAGTATTTTTAATGGGGAAAACTAACTACGTCCAATAATAATGATATTATTACAGAAACTTACTTCAAATTGACCATTAGCGTTCATGATTTTTTCAAATTGTTCACCATTAATAATGTAGAGAACTTCGTATGACGTCACCCATTCACTGGCATCTTCTCGTCCTTGTGTCATCACCTCCGTTACTTTTGACAAAGAACCCAGTTCGGCTTGAATCCATGGATCACTGTCATTGGACTTAGCCGACCATGCTCCTTTCAAGTTACCATCTGCTGCAGTGTTGAGTCGTCCGCGATAAGCACCGTAATAAGGACTAAACTCGCTGGATGCAGTAAGTCGCTCGGAAGGAATTGTTCCATCTTCAACCCCAAGATAATCAAAGCAAGACTCTAAAAAATTGTAATTTCATAATTCGAATTATTTATATATACT